CACACACACACACACACACACGCCCTGTTGCCAGGGCTGCCTCAAACCGGTGATCAGCAATAAGACTGAGGATTTTTCACAGGGCCGAAGTTGATCCAGTCGAACGGCTCTTATTTGGACAGCGTGAAACAAAGACAAAATGGCAACCACAACGCCAACCGGCGCGAACTAGCATTTTTGCGCACATCCGCCCTTTAAGCGCTGTAGGCTGGTGAAATTGCATTGGATCACCCAGTGTATTAGTAGACTCCGCGTCACTGACTGCACGAGACTCAGCAGATGTGGAGCGGCGGCGTTCCTTTTTGCCTGACTTCTTTTTCTTTGGCTTCTTTTCTTTTCCGCGTCGGTCCTTCTTCTTGCTCTTTTTCTTCTTCTTGATCAACTTCACCGACTGGACTGTCGCATCTTTGGGCAGGTCCTTTGGAGGGTCAAAGGCAGATGACCATGAGCTGGCGTCGTCAGGAAGCTCCTCATATTTCAATGTCGAATTTTGAGTATTGCTCATGTTGAGCAAGCTGAATGAATATGCAAGAAACGGCTGCGGAGGCATGCAGGACATGATGTGAATGTTGTTCACTTGCAAGATGAGCAATTGGGAAGCGAAGGCATGTCTTTTGCAAGGCGCAAATATGGTACCACTTCGTGGTCAAGGCGCTATGATCCATGTATCACAAGTGTCCCAGGTCAAGAATCTGGGAATTCTAATTAGAGGCAGACACGATGAGTCGCAATCAAGGAGACCGACTTCTCTTGCGTGAAGGACTTGTGGAGGAGTCTTCTTCGTTGACCAAAGGACGGTCAGCAAGTGTTCGTCTGCGAAGCCACCTTCTGGTGACTGCGTACCACTGCCACCACCAGTGTTGGCCGTCTGTGTGCCATGCCCATCTCCACTGGGTCTCCTGAATGTCGGCACGTGGCACAGGAGATCGCGAACGGTTTGACATGGTGATGCTGAACGGTGGGGTCTCTGTAACAAAATTGGCTGCGGAACAAACATGTTCACCATGAATGAAGTCATGTCACGGCAACTGATGCAACATTGACGGGGGCTTTTTTTTACCGTCAAAGCCTCAAAGAATCAAAGTCATCTGGCCACGGAGTTCTCAAGTTCTCGAACTCGTTGCTGCAGGTCATTGACCTCCTGCGTCGTCTTTTCGACGAAGTCTGCGAGCATGTTGCGAAATGTTTCGTCGTGCAGGGCGCTGGAGAGGGAGGCGCTGTGAGACGCCGAATGTTCTTCGTCACTGGCCGCGGCGTCTGCACGAAGAACCTCGAGTAGTGCCCGAGTGATTTCCCGCCTGCGTGTAGCAGGGCTCATTGGTACATAAGAATCATCTGTGGGCTCCGAAGAGGACACGTTGACTAACTGAGGCTGAGAACAAATCCAGCGTAGATACACAGAGTTGTCAGCAAGGGATGTAATTCACATGTCTGCGACAGTGAGTTCAATACTAGCGCACATCGCCCTTGCTTTTTGTACGATTCCCTGGCCAAGCAAACTTTCACAATTTTGCCTTGAAGGCAAAAGAATTGATCGGAAGGCCTCGCTGTTCGGCGAGTTCCCAAAGGTACCTAAGGTCCATGAGAGCTTGTGCTCGAGGGTACGAGCACTTCTTTATGGTGTGTGCCAAGGCAAGCACGCCACTGAGCAGCACATGTTCAGGGGCGGCAGATTTGGTGCTGGGAAGGTCTGAAGTCTGACAGGCACGGTTATACATGATGCGACGTTGCTCAAAGTCGAGGGAAAAGCCCACGAAATCGTAGGCGGGTTCGTCCTCCAGAGCGATATCACCTCCGTAAAAGCGATTGTTGAGTAATAGTCGAACGCCAGGGAGTTGTTCAAACCTCCTCTCGGAGATCCAAATCCGATTGTCGACATAACGCAGGCTGAGCAAGGCTCGGTACATGCTGGAGCACGTGATGCTAAAAGTGCGTCGCCAAATCTCTTCCTGGGCAGCGATGACCCTGCCGCACAGAGCAGGCGAAAATGGTGACCCCATGGGAGAACCAAAGCACTGGCGAAACCCCCGCGCCGCACCTTGGAAGTGCTGTAGTGTGAGGGCACGCCGAATGATGGTTGGCAAATCTTGGCACCATATGGTGACCTCCCGGGAAGCTCGGTCGCGGCGTTTTCCGCGAAACACACGTAACTGCTGAGCATGTTCTTTCAAGTTGACCGAAAAAGCGGTGTTGGTTGGACACCGTGTCTTTGCCTGTAGAACTCTAGTGCGATGCGCCAGGCCTGTAAAAATTTGAGTTGAAGGGTATGGAAACCCATGCGAGGTGCAGGAGTGCGGCTGCGGTCCATGCTGGGAATCAAAAAGGTGAAACCACGGGTAGCTCAAACCACTAGGAGAGTTGAGCCAGCAAGCACTAAGAAAACGGCTGCGGAGGTGCATTGCTGTTCAAGAAAGACTGGGAACACATGTGTGCGTGTGTGCCATTCAAGCTCAAGGATCAGCACATC